GTGGGTGCGCCGATCGAGAAACCCAGCTAGTCGAAAAACTTGGCGCTTGGCACTTGCCTTCTTCGGAATCAAACAATGCCAAATGAGCCTTCCAGTAGTAGTGGTAGTAGTAGTAGTTGTAGTAGTAGTAGTAGTACCAGCTCACCGAGCAACCTGGCGCTTGGCGCTGACCTTCTTCGAAATCAAACAATGCCAAATGGACCTTCCATCAGATTCAAAGTTCTTTTGCTAGCCTGTTCAAAATCCATGGGGGCCTCATCGCGATCCGTGAGCCGCTGAATCCTTGTTTTGGTTGGTACTCTTCTCAATCCGTACTCCACGCTGCCAATTGTCGGTCAACACCGCATGTTGGAGCATGGGAAAGCCGCTTCATCCTTGTTTTGGTTGGTACTCTTCTCAATCCGTACTCCACGCTGCAAATTGTCGGTCAACGCCGCATGTTGGCTTGGGACATCCATGCAACCCATAATCCGTAATCCACAAACCGCACGATCTAATCCGTACACCGCATAACATGGATTCGAAGGGTCCACGTAAAGTTTTGACACAAAGGGGCCCTTTACACAATGTCACGTTGAAACAGAGCCTCCAGGTTGCCGCTCCACGCTGCGCTGCGGCAAGCCGCGTCTGCCTGCGCAACAGCTCGCGCTTCCTTGTTTTGCTTGGTAATCTTCTCAATCCGTCCTCCGCGCTGCAAATTGTGGGTCAACACCGCAGGTTGGAGCATGGGAAATCCATGCAACCCATAATCCGTAATCCGCAAGATCTAACCCGTAAACCGCGTAATCCGCAATCCGCTAATCATTGGGAATTCGGTTTTGAACCAGCTAGTTTTAAGATCCAGCTAGTTTTAAGATGGATTCGAAGGGTCCACGTAAGGTTTTGACACAAAGGAACCCTTTACACAGTGTCACCTTGAAGCAGAGCCTCCAGCTTGCCGTTCCACGCTGCGCTGCCGCGGGACGCGTCTGCCTGCGCAACAGCTCGCGCTTCCTTGTTTTGGTTGGTAATCTTCGCAATCCGTCCCATCCGTACTCCACGCTGCAAATTGTGAGTCAACACCGCATGTTGGCACCCGGGAAATCCATGCAACCCATAATCCGTAATTAGTCCACAAACCGCACAATCTCATCTGCTGACCGCATAATCCGCAATTCGCTGAGCATTGGGGATTACGTTTGGAACACGCGGGTCCACGTAACGTTTTGACGCAAGGGGCCCTCTACACCGTGTCACCTTGAAACCGAGCCTCCAGCTTGCCGTTCCACGCTGCGCTGCCGCGGGCCGCGTCTGCCTGCACAACAGCTCGCACTTCCTTGTTTTGGCTGGTAATCTTCTCAATCCGTAATCCACGCTGCAAGTTGTGGGTCAACACCCCGCATGTTGGAACAAGGGAAGTCCATGCAACCCATAATCCGTAGTCCGCAAACCGCACAATCAAATCCGTAAACCGCATAATCCGTAATCCGCTAATCATTGAGGATCAGGTTTTCAACAGGCTAGTGTTAGAATGGACTCGAAGGGTCCACGTAAAGTTTTGACACAAGGGGCCCTTTACACAGTGTCACGTTGAAGCAGAGCCTCCAGGCTGCCGTTCCACGCTACGCTGCCGCGGGACGGGTCTGCCTGCGCAACAGCTCGCGCTCCCATCCCAGCGCAAGAAAAGTGGCCCCAGTCCAATGCAGAAACATCACGTAGCGCACAAGTCTAAACCCTTTCACATTGTAGACTCATCTTGCCAACGATCACAAAAAAGAAAACTGCAGCGCAAGCGCGCCTTCCTCCCTGCGCGACTGCGCAGGGGACGCTGACCGTCTGCCTGTCACACGGCAATGCCAAGCAACACGCCCCATTCACCACATCCCTGGCGTTGCAAACGGACACGTAGCCAACAGCGATCGCGCCTTCGTCCCGGCTCGCCGAGCGCCGCTCACGCGGAACACACTGCGCACGACCACGCCCTCCACGAAGGGAGCACACGCAAGCCATGACAAACCTCGGGCGCGAACTCTAGTTAAGGCTATTTCGTTGCATTCGGGTGCCATAACAGTCCATTCGGGTGTCATGGGCCTAGCAGCGATAGAACTGCTGCCACTTCAGCGTCAGGAAGGGGGCGGTCTATGGCATAGAAGCGGCTTGCGCCCAACATCTGCATTTAGTCAAGTTCTTGGAGTTATTTTGCTCCCTGACCCTCTGAGGTATTTTCGGTCTGTTGCAGCTTCAAGTTCAAAGGATGTGACAAGTCATTGTCTGCCCTCGGCCGGTTCATCGGGCCTTACAATGCGAACTATGTTGCAGTGCATCACCGACTTCCTAGTTGTATGAATCGCCCTATACTTTCTGAAAACCTGAGACCGCTGGGGGTGAGGGTTTGGCAGGGTTGTCGTCCTCAGGGCAGCCCCCAAACAACTTGTGGAAGGTGGCACAGTTAATAAGTGCTGCAATTTCTCTCAGACTAGGTTAGTGTCTGGGGGAATTTCCCTTTTTGCTGGTGAAATTTCTTACTTGGTAGCCAGGTTGGAGAAGTACAGGGGTATATTTCTTTCAAGAAGCCGGGGGGTGGGAGTGGTGGTTTCGCGAAACAGTCGCCCTTACAGGATCGCGGTTTGAGGGAAGCAGAGGGTGACCCATATTAGGTAATCGTGGCTTTTTCACCAAAATGTTAGTGGTTGTGTTTTTGGACGCTTTCAAAGGGACGTGGTGGTTTTGCGAAACCGTCGTCCCCCCACCAGAACCGTCGTCCCCGGCCCCCCACCAAAACCATCGCCCCCGCACCCCCTCATCCTCTCACCCTTGACCCCGTTGTGATACTCGTTCCCCCGTTTCATCCTCGAAGCGTGACACTTGATGCTCCCTATAGCCATTTGGTGTAACACCTGATTGTAATGATGTAACACTCCAAGCCAATCATGCCATGTTCATACCAGCCAACACCTGCCGCCCAGGCACGCCGACACATTCCGCAGCTGCTTCTGCTGTTGGCATTTCTGGTAGACCGTCTTTCTTTCGTCATTCGTCAGCTGGCCCATCTGAACGCGCGCCTGCTCGTCCAGTTGGCACCAGACCCGCTCCTCTGCCTCCGTCCGCCCCTCTTCCGGCTTCGCCTCCGACTCCACCTCCGACTCGTACGTGTAGCACGTCTCGTACGTGTACTCCCCGGACAACGGCTCCTGCTCGTTCTCACACTTCTTCGGCTCCTGTTCGTCCTCCTCATCCACGTGCTTTGCCTGCTCATGCTGCCACAGCGCGTCCTCAGACCGGAACCACCTCGTGCACCGGTCGCACGCGAACCACTCTTGCTCGCGCGGCATGTCTCTGGAGCCTCTAACGGCTACATCGTACATGCACTTGCAATCTTGCAAAGTCTGAGTGACCACGGGGCATAGGCCTAAGGGCCGTCATCCTATGGCTTGCTTTCCCGTATTGGACCTTGAAGGGTCCTGACGATTGCAACTTGATGTGACGACCTTTTACTTGGGCAACTTGCTTTTAAACAGGGGTCCTTACATGAAAGGGGACATATGGAACCCCAGGTGTTTGAAGGAACATGTAAGTAGAAGCCAAATGACCACCAGCTACCAACTGCAAAGCTGCTAGGTGAATTCACACGGTAGGTTTTTTGTTGCGGTTCTCATCCTGAAGGACCGAAGGATGTGTGTTTAGATGAATCCTTGCTGAAATGAATATTCTTTATGTCCCCCTGTTGGTTTTACAGGGAAACTATCGCTATTGAGGATATTTTTCCGGGGTACTTAAGCAAATGGAGGTTTGTATTCCCGCCATGTACCTGTCTTGGGCTGAGCAACCGAGCAAGAAATGTATGTCATGGCAAGCCGCCAGCCACGTGAAATGGAGGTGCCCAAACACCCAAAGTTGGTCTTGGTTGTTCAGTGACACCAATTATTGTTCCCCGTTTTATGGAGGCCAAGCCCCACTAAAAATGCTCATCCCCAGAAAGAGGTCCTTTTTTTTCCAAGGGCACTGAGCAGCTGAGATAGTCTTGGTTTTGGATTTCAAACCTTCCGAGCAGGACGGCTTCCGAACATCGAACTAGCACGGGCGAACTGGTGCGGTCACAAGCTTTCAGTAGGATTCGGACCTTCCCAACACTGGATTTCGGTGTTCCTGACCCTTCCCTCAAGCTAGGCTGGGCCGAGGCGGGCAACGCGAAGCGTTTACAATAAGGCACCCTTGATTTGGTGGAGTTCAACGGAATTCAACGGAAACCATGTTTGGGAAAGCAAGCCGACATGCTGAATGCAAACAAATATGTCACTAGCCAAGACAGCAACGCTGTCTTTCTCAGCGGAACTTGGCCCCGCGTGGCCTGTTTGTCTCACCCTTCCGGAAACAACAATGTCACAGTTCATGTGCATGGTAAGGTGATGTCAGGATTCTTGTTGCTGATGTGGCAGGACGTTGCCCCAGAAACAGATCTGGCTGAGACGATGAAGGGACTTGCACATATCCATCACGCTCTTTGGCTGCCCGTATCACCACTTTCGGGCACGCCTGTGTTGTGACCCAACTTCAGCATAGACAAGCGGTGTTTCTGTTCTGACTCGGTCTGGGCTGTCCTCAAATCTCTTGCTAAAAGTTGTGCTTTCAATGGGTGGAATGGATTCCCCCACTCAGACCTAAAAAACAAGAAGCCAAGGGGACGGCTGGGAACCACCAAGTGGTACGTGCAACCGTTTCATTCATGGCTTTCCTGGCAGAGTGCTCTAGGATATTCTCGCCGAGGCTTTACACTTTGTGCTGACTTTGCCGCGGGAAGACCTGTCTTCGACTCAGGCGAAAGCGAAGGCGCTTTCGAAGCCAAGTGGGGCGCTTTGCAGAGTCCGTTTGTGGGTTAAAGCCCAGATACCTTTTTTGGGGGGGGGGTCCAGGTGAATAAATACTTGGGTCCCGGTCGGGTAATTGCTGGGGGTTTGACCCAACAGAAACGTCCACGTTTGACCCCGCCAGGACCCGGAAAGTCCCAAGCCTGGGCCCAGGGCCGCGCGGGTGTTCACCGTGATGAGGGGCGTGATGCCCGTGAGGTGCAGCACTTGCGGCCCCGCCGGCCTTCACCGCCCAGCCCGCGGTCTTTTGGGGCCCGATTGGACGTTCTTGACAGCAGAACTCGTCTTTAAACCCAAAAGAAAAGCCACTCTGGGACAGAAGAGGTGATCATTCTTGGACAGAAGAGGTCCCTTCTTTGTGGCCACTGAACAACGATCAATGGTAAATACACACAGAGGGTCAAAAGGTCGGCTTTGAACAAGCGACGAGATTCGCGTCGTGCAAAGCTGCGGCAGTGTTGCGGCAACGTGGGTCCGATGAAGTCCTGGATTGTACCGTGGACACTTTGTTGGCAAAGTGCCAAAGGGCCAAAGCGACAAAGGCAGGGAGGTTCAACTCATGTCCAAGGGCGTTCGATCCTGGAGTCACTGCAAGATTTGCCTCTCCCCAGTACCGCCATTACCACTTTTGGCGCTACCAATCGAGCAAGCTACCCGAAGGCACCTGACACCTCACCAAAGGTCCCCTCACGGAACATCAGGTAGAAACCGAGTCTATGAAGCATGTCGGCTGAAACCTGGCAAGCATCTTTGGACTGCACCAAGCATTCAGGGGCCAACCGATCGAACCGGTCGGGCTTTTGTCGCCTCAAGGTGTCGGGACTCCAACTATCTTTCCCCTCAGCACATCACTCTGGGCTTTAATGGAAACTCGCGTACCCCCGGCAGCCAAATGGCGATGCTTCAAATTGCCGAACAGGGACAACTGTCATTGTGTTGAACAGAAGGACCCCTGTTATGCCGATGTCAAAAGGAAAGCAACATGAAACGGACCAAGCTCGGATTCCTAAGCGCCGTTCTGCTGCGGAAATGGTCTGCTTTTATTATAGAAGGATTCCTCTGGTTCCGATCCGATTCGAAGTTCTCGCTATGGGCCTCCGGGCGCACCGTCCCTCAGCACCTCTTTCCAGAAGGAGGCGCTGAACCACCCTGCGATGGAGGCGCTTCGCGCTCTGCAGCTTTGGGTCGGCGCGTGGCTCGGGCCAATGTGCCAGCGGGTTCCGTTGCTTTGCCTATTTGGCCTTTGTGATTTTTAGGGCAGTGAAAAGCAAATGCAACCTGCACCCTCTTCATGCCAGTATTTTCAGGTGGTATTGTGGTATTCCTGGAAGCCCCAGGCGTCATCCGTGCCTTCCCGCTCTATATAATCGCTTCCCAGTCTCTTGCAAAATCATTGCTGGGTCAGAACAGCCAATGCGAATGCTGGATGTACACGGCATGGCACTCAACAAGGCCAATGGAAAGTGAGGTAGTCGCACAATCATGGCAACGACCCTGCAGCGCTTTAGTGACTCTCCATCTAAAGAAGAGGGCGCACTCTGAGCACCGACATCTTAGCACAGTCGCTCTTTGCGTGCGGGAGACAATTATTCCCATGATGGCCCATTGCTGTTGTTCATGGCTCAGTTTCCATGTCAGACGACAGCTTGGCACATGTCAGCTGGGCGCCCCTGCTGGGATCCATGAGCCCGAAGACTGAGCGGTGCCGCTGGAACCTCAGCGAACGAACGAACCGCGGGCCGCAGCGCGCGCCTGGTTAGCCCTTTACGGCAAGGCAGGCGACGTAAGTACACCAACATCGACAGAGTGGAAAGCGCAGTCCGAAGCGCTAGCCTGTGCTACAAAACAACAGGCAAGACACTATGCATTGCCATGTTGTGGGTGTCGGGATCACCATAGTTCGTCCAAACAACACTGTTTCGAGAACAACCAAACAATCGAACACTTGCTTGTTCAGCAATGCCATGGTTCTCATGGTACGTCTTTGAAACGATCGCCAGGCCAAGCCCCAGGTTTTGACTAGTGAAGGCTGGTCCCCAGAAACGAAACAGTCCTAATGTGAGCCCAAAGTAGCCCAACATGATTGACCTGAACCTGTCCCCATCGCTGTCGTCGGCCCATTCGACTGACGAGGCACCAAATCTTGTGCTCCGCTGGCCACACGTGATAGATGCCCACGTCACCTTCCTGGCGGAGCCGGAGGCGTCGCGCAACAAACCTCGTCGAGCTGAAGCCAACCAGAAGCTGGACATCCATGCACTCTCCTCCTGACTCTCCTCCTGAGTTGATTGGCCAACTTTTTGATGATGCCAAAAAACATAAAGTCTAGGAGCTCAGGAAGCCAGTGCGAATGGCCCACATTTCAGAAGCCAATGCACTGGGACACACTTGATCTTCGTCGATCGGAGGCACAACATGAATGCCTTGACGAAAGCATCCATTGCTGATGGATTGGGTCTGCATTCCAAAGTACAACATCCATTCAGAAGAGTATCTGCACGGAGCAAAGCTTTTGATCCATCAAACTCTACACATACTCCAGCATGAACGCGTGAGTTTTAGTCAGCAGCTCTTGGAACATAGTTTGAGTTGGATTCCATATGAAGCAATATCTAAGGCAACCCACTGTTGCTGAGAATTATCACCTCATGAAACGACTGAAGTAAATACACGGAGCATGAACCATCTGCATGCGCTATGGCGCGCGACCGGACTTGCATGAATTCCATATTACATGCTGACCCTAATACCTGGTTGGCAACTATGGCTCGTGTTTCATGTTGGCTTCCTTTGAATTACGCATAGCCATTCCAGAAATGCTCACCCAAACTTGTTTCCCGACCTGGAAACGAAACAGGGGGGTAGGGAATACGGAAAGTCTGGGTCTATTACTATTCAATTCGCAGCGTGTTTGTGCCCAGGAGGGAAGGAGCCTAGAGGACCCAAAAGGATCAAGAACTTGGGTGATTCTCAGCCCCAGCTGGGGTCTGGTTTTCAGTCTTGGCCCGCCCTCGATTTGTTGGGCTGCTTGCTGATCCCACATTGAACATATCACCAAATATTCCAAACAGAATTCCTAGCTTTTACGCTGGCATCGCGGAGGTACAGGAGCAACTGACAAATATGTCAAGAACACACATTCCCAACGAACATGAGTTGTCAGGACGGTGGCGAGGTTGCCGGTGGGGTTCATGTAACTATGTCATTTTTCCGGGATGACTTCATCCTCTACCACCTCTCCGTTCTGGTTTCTGGAATTTCTGAACGAGGACATGGGGCTGTTCTGGTTGCCATCTGAGGCCTTTATCTGTGAAGAAAATGGGCGAGCCCTGCTCCCTGTCCCACTTTCATCATGCCACCCCAAGAAAGATGGCTTCAAGCTCACATTGACAGGCTCCAGGATGGGTGTGCCCGACTGTGAGGAGTCAGCGAGGGGAAGAACCGAGGGCAGCCGCTCCCAACAAAGCTTCTTAGAACCTTTGTGGAATGGGTTTTGATCAAAGTTTTCCAACAAAAGACCCCACTGCCGCTCCTTAGTCAAATGCGGCATGGGTCATGGCCTCTCGCCGCACCAGCTGGAGGTTCTCTTTGCCCCCATCAGGGTAAGCTTGCCTGGGTCACTCGAGCAGGAGTTAATCACTCATCTCTTCGAGCGCTGCGGTGAGACCCCTTTTTTCAACCCTTGGGTGCTTGTGTTTGGTGGAAACGGAACGGGTGGCGCAAGCGAGCTTTTAAGCAAGGCGCACTCGACCCAGTTTATTTATAGGTCTGCCATGCCAACAACCAAATGCGATCAAACCAAAAACTAGTCATAGCCTCTCCAACAGAAACACACAAAGTCAGCAGCTCAAGCAAACATTTGCTGTTGTCGTTCAGCACTTAAGGCGACCATCTAGGACGATTGGTCGTGGCCACGCAATGCAAATTTGATCAAGCAACATGTTGCAGGGCAAGCTCTCCAATTGGTCGGCTGACAAGTTCTTCCCCGTCTGCCAACACCTTGCCTTGGCGAACTGCCCAATGCTGAGTCAGAGTTGGACATCTTGTTCGTTTGCCGAAAAGCTGACAAGGGAAGCAGCTTGGCCCAGCCACACGGATAGCCAACATAACATCGACAACATCACTCACTCGCCAACATGTAGTGATGCTACTTGCAAGCATGTATGAGGACAACATTGTCCTGCAATCACGTTTGGATTCTCGGCCTATTGAAATCACCGCAGCACACTGGCCGGGTCTCTGGATCTTGCTCACCGCCTTTGCCTCGTGTCCTTGATCCGACGCTATGCTGAAAATCAGCGGTTCCGCTTCCGAGGCGCCCGAGGACGTTCATGAAATCATCGCCCAGGACCTCACGTGGCGAACATCCACGCACATTGAAAGCTGCTTTAGGAGCGCATCTTCGTTTCCGGACTGCCCAAAGTTCTCCGTAGCATTGCTAGAGCCGCCCGACGTTCAGGATGGGCACAGCGTTTCTTGGGTGGACTTTCCGGTGGACTTTCCAAATGTGGAAACAAATTTCGTTTGCCGAGACATTTCATGCCGTATTGCAGCTCAAGCGGCAGCTTTCGCCACACACACATGTCCTTTCTTGCGCACAACTGTCCGCTGCTCTTGCCAATCAATGCTCAATGCTCGGTTTTCTTTGGACGAGTCCTAAAATCTCCAACAGGCGGAAACCGCCCGGGGAAGGCAATTCACATTTGCAACCGAGGGCCAGTACCAGTGACACAATGCGACGGTCCAAGGGATTGCCTCCCGGCAACTGATTCCGCGTTGATCGAGAACACCTGGATGGCACTGTCATGTCTACGCTAAGAACGTTGTTCCGAAAAGACTGGGGGGCATGTCCCAAGAAGCTTCCTGCATTCCCAATGCCTGGCTTCCTGGAGACTCAGCGGGACACGGCAAAGTCACTTGTTCACGTTCGAAGTATTCAGCAAGCTCAGCAGCTCCCAAAAATGGTCCTTGCAATCAACTTTGCTCCAAATACAATGGCTCAACTTCGACCACCTTCTGATTTTGGGAGCACCCCACAGACAAGCCAATCTGGACTTTGCCTTGCAAGTTTCAGTCCATCAAGTTGGCAACCTGGACAGTCAACCAACCCTCAGAAACCTGGAAGACGCTCTTCCCCTCCAAATCGATCATGCAAGTGCCAACTAACTGTACTTTCAAAAAAGTCCAAAGCAATCCGAATCAATGAAGGGAAACCGACCCGGAGCTCCAAGCCTCACCTCCAACTAGAAGAAACTGGACCGGGGTCCCACACGGTGAATTGCCATTACACCACACGACACGTCCGCCATTGAGGCCACGGCCCCCTGTGGGACCACCGACACCCAGCGGGTGCGGCCGCCCCAGCCTGGCGGGGAACGACTCAATTGACGAGCCTGGGGCATATCTGGGCATCATCCATCATAAACCATGAATCTCCATGATACTGTGAACGAAATCCATTTCGCACCATTTGGAAACCATGGGAAACCATGGTTTATTGGTATTTACAGGGGATTCATCATTCCGGGGTTTCTTTGGTGGTGCAGGATTTCGTCCATCCACAGTATGTATACACCTTGCTATGGACACATGTCTAATGTAACACATCATGCGTGCAAACGCTGCTGCGCGCGTGCAAACGCTGCCGCCGCCGCTGCTCAACTTATGTCTTCGAAGTCTACAATTGGAAGAGCAACTCCGGGTGAGATGATTAAGCAGTGCCAGCTCCATGATCTGCAGCAATATTCAACACGTCGCAGCTCTGCAAGCCCTGTTCAGATGAGCTCGGGCGAATTGCCACATAGCATGCTTTGCTTCCTGTATGTAAAATAAGTATCCAGTGTTCAAACATCCTGAATCCTGGTCGGTAACTGCCTCAATAACAGCTTCTTAGAGTGGCAGCGAAGAAAAACGGCAGCTGCACATCAAGCATTGTTGCCTCACGCACATGCAAGCCCCGCCCCCCACCCCCCAGCCACAAGGCGAGATCTTCAACCCGTGAGAAGGCGGATTGTCAATAACAAAGGGTTTCTCTCAAGAACCACAAGCACTTGTTCAAAGGGAGGAAAGAGGAATTAACCCACCCATACCCTCCCAGTAGCTTGGATGGAAGGAACACACCCTCCTTCCCAAATTCCATGTTGGGAGACGGGAATCTCTCTAGTCCTGGTCAGCTTCTTCCAAGCGCCCAGGCCTAAGCGAGAAAGCGCCACAGTGATGTTCAGCTCGGCACCTGAGACAAGAGGTGAAACTCACCTTCCTTTGAACGAGCCGTCACGAATCCCAAGATTGAGAAGCCTGGACAGCATATTGCCTTCGTCTGACCTAATTGCAAAGTCTCATGTTTGCGTGTTGATGGCCAGAGACCACAGCTGTGGATGCCCGTCCTCATGGACTTGTTGACCGCTGGTGCGCACTGAAGCAATGGTTATTCTAGTCTGCGGGTGTTGCTGCCTCCACGGAAAGCCGCGCAAAAGTCAGCAAACGTTGATCGCAAAGTCGTGCAAAGCATATCGCAAAGCATAGATTGCAAACTTACCAAACACACCGCAAAGTCGGGCACTGTGTGATCTCAAATTCCCTGCAGCGAGACGTGATTCCTTAGCAGACGACTAAGACACGATTGATCTCGTCCCATCCTCCTTTGCCATGGATTTCGGACGAAGCCTTTGTCATCCCGAGCGCCCCCAAAATGATACCAGACATTGAGTGGCGACCTTTGGCCTGCCCCTCTCCATCACGTCTTCCTCAAACCAACCAATGATAAGTTTCTTGACGCAATCGACACAACCAACACCAGCACGCGTTTGCCTATGAAGAGTGCGAGACACGCATCGACATTGCATCTTATAATCTCATTTCATGTCAGGCCTGCGTATGATGGACGTTCTGCACAGCACGTTGGCTCGTTTCGCATGTCTGGGCGGTATGTGTCGCATCACATCCGTGCCTTCACAGGGCACGTCTTACAGGGGTCCTATACTCCTTCCGGGCTGCCGGCCGCCCAAGCTTCGCAGCCACCTGACCAGGTCAGACTGCAAGTGGAGCACGCAAGTCAAAGACTCTTGCGTATGGTTCAGGGGCTTTCGGCTCCAACCCGAGCTGACATTGAGCATTCATCATGTGAATCTCAACCGTGGCACCTCACCACCCTAGTTTCATGTTGGTGACCTTGCAGAACCCTCTTCAGGTTCTTATCATCCGAGTCAGCTAAGGGGAGTCAGAAAGGAAGTGAAGGAAGTCATCAGGGCTTCTGACGGCTCTTAACGAATTCCATATGGCTTGTTGCTTTGCTGCAGGAAGCGCCTGGCAGCGAAGGGGGACTCCTCTCCGCCTCTTGGATCAGGCACATATCGCCTAGGCATCCGCGAAAAAAATAGTCAAAGGGCCCACGCAGCTTGCCATTTCACATGCAATGAGCAACTCAGGACTCACTCAATGCTTGTTATAGCAGAACGCCGCTTTTGGATGGTGTCAGCCGCCTTCAGGCAAGACCCCAAAACAAACATGTTGCAACATGGAAACAGCCTTCAGGCAAAACCCCAAAACAAACCACAAGACATGGAAAAACCTGGCTACTCCTGACACCTTCCCATATTGACCCTTGATCGCCCTTTCCCATCTGGGAAACTGACAGCATGGCCTCGCCGAAGCAGGTGAAGCGTGGGCGGTGCTCCTGGCCCGGGCGATCCCTCGAAGTTGCCTCATGATGAGAGTGGCGCATGGACTCCCGAGACGAACGAAACACACGTCGCCACAAATGAGCCGAGACAATTTGCGAGGCACTGAGCCAGTCTCCATTTGGGGATGTTCTAGCTGGGGGCTCATTCAGCAACACTTGCCCCATTGCAAAGCTGCAACAAACCGCAGGAGCAGCTGCTTCAAAGCCTGCAAAATCCACTCCAGCCCATTCAAAGCTGGCACGTCCAATCCTTTTCACAACACAACACCTGTCGCAATCTTCAGCTGCAAAAATGGGCGCCATAGAGGTCAGTCCTACTGTTCTTCGACTTACACGCGACGGCTTCCTCTTCATTTGCGAGCCGGCCTCACGCATCCACCGCCCTGGAAGTTCCTTCACGACTCTTGAAAACGTCGGTTTCCATTGCTTGCCCTTGGCTTCCGCATCCTTTCTCAAGCCCTTGCTTGCTCTCGAAGATGGCCTCGGTTCTTTGGTCATGCCTCGGCCCTCTGGCGGTTCAGGGGCTCGCCGTGTCCGGCAACACCGCAAGCCCATCTGCGCCACCATCGTCACGCCTCATTTTCCTGCCGACTCAGCCTCGCTCCATCCTTGCGGCACCTAGTTCCTCACCACCCGTTCGGCCCTGCGTCACTGCGCCATTCGGCCATCGCTATACCGTCCAATCCTCAGGCGTCGCGCTTCACCCCGTTGCATTCCCCAGACTCCGTGGCCCACAGCTCAGCCCCCCTAAAGCCTAGGCAAACAACCAGGACCCAAGCATCAAAGATGTCTCTGCGACCATGAGCTTCCTACTTTGCATCTGCCGCATCAAAGCAAATGGCCAGCGGCGCGTATTTGACTGGAGGAATCTAGCTATTCATCGAATCCTTGTCATGCTTCTGTGAGCGGACTGACTTGTGGATTAGATCAGGACGAGATGGGCATGATTAGCAGGGAAGCAATTTGCGCAGCAAGGAACCCACATATATTCATATAAACCAGAACGCACTAAAGGAAATGATGTTCCTTTCTGCAAGCCATTGATTTAAGGCAAATGTGATGCAGTCGTCAAGCAGCTTTCAATCCCCACATGTCACGTGGATAACATCTGGGCCAGAACTGCTGACTCAACTTGGCCGGGAACACATCTTGGCCGGGAACACATACAGCCCCGTCGTTCCCTGTTCATTCTGGGAATGCCAAGTAGGCCCACATGCGCAGATTGCCTCGAGTGAAAGTCTGATGCAGAAACAGAAGCGTGAGTGCCACGCAAGTGCACAACATGTCTACCAAACAGCTCATTGCCGATCCAAACAACGAAATTATGAACACCCCCGCACAACTTAGACTTCGCGGTCACAAGCCATAACATGCGTTCGTTATGCTTCGAGTCTAAGGTTTTGTTCTGAAAGCATCTATTCACAATGTCTTAAAATCCTCTCTGTTCCATTCCCTGTTCGCACGGGGGACACCTCCCATGTGTTGCACAGCATGATCTACGCTCCTGCCTGCTTCTCTGACTCCGTTCTGCAAGGCAGTTTGCGGTATGCCACCTCAGTCATGTCAATTGTAGTTGCAGACTCTGGGCCCTCGGCATGGAAAGGGAGCTCTATGAGCCGGTAGCAAAATCGTTCTATATCCTATTGCGTCATACTCATAACATCTCCAGGGCATCTGCTTTAGGGCATGGTATTCAAGCGCGCGGTCAATGACCCATCTCATTTCGACGTGTGTTAGATTGTTCCCTGAAATACCGCTGCACATGGTGGAATGCACTGGCCAAGCAACGTTGCACTTCTTGAAGTTCAAAACGACTACAGCCCTTGCCCCCTAGAACCCAACGCGGTGAGACCATGCGGATAGCGCGGTCAATGCTGCACGGATTACGTTTGTTAGGTCGACCCGCGGCTGACTGGTCTTTGGAAAACATCTAAGAAGCACAAACATTCGGCTGACTGGAGTATGCGTTCAGAACCAGTCAAACACGTGGATCAACAAATGTGTCTTGTAGAATCATGGTCAGTTCATTGACTAGTGGTATCGCACCTTACTCCTGCAGGGTGCCCCTTCCCTCGCTTACATCAAAGCTTTATGACCTGAACTCAGCATAAGGCGCGCTGGAATGGCAAGTACTTGCTGGCAGCACCCCTACAGCTGATCTCATCGCATGGCCAACCCCGCCACTAATAACTTCCGTGAGCGTCAATACATGACGGTTTTTATCTCCCCCAGGCATCGAGAAAGGTGGTCATTGTGTGCAAGCCTAAATGGCAACAGAACGTCTTGCAAAGCAGGGCGCAAAGGGCATGGCACCCTTCAATCTGGGCCCGCAGCAAATGGACTAGCAAAGAGAGCCCTCCTTCTGAGTCTGATGGATGTGCTGCGCTCACTCCGATAGTGGCCATTTGCAGCGAAAGCCACCCACCCCCACGCTCCCTGCAGCTGAGTGTGCTGAGGCTGCGCATACAGCTGGCACGGAACGCCACAAAGCAGCCATGATTTAGCTCCTCTTCGGGAGACCCCGTTCAAGCTGTTTCAGCAGCAAAGATTTGCAGGTTCGTCAGGGCAGCTGCTTCTTGCCATTCATGCAGTATTGATTGAGGCAAATGGCACGGCAATTGGGGGGGAAGTCAGCATTGGCTCATGATCCACAGAATCCAAGTCACACGCACGCTTCCGCTGGCTGATCTGCTGTGCTTGCTCATGTGCTGATGCATGGATCCGAGAAGTAGCCAATGGCTGCGGACAGCTGGATCGTTGTTCCTCTGTAGATCTGGCGGCAAGGAACTCCCTTTCGGTTGTTGAAATACCGCCAAAACTGCTGGTAGGATACTCACCAAAAGTTTCATCAGACCTGAGATTCACTACTTCAAGTGGCCAGGCAGCCTCGCACTGAAATCTGGCGACAAACGGATTGGGTGAACGCGCAAGCGCAAGCGCAACAAGCTTCTTCCCTTGCGAATGTTGCTGCCAAGATGCTCCCAAGTCTGTTCCTAAGATGTCTGCCACCAGGTTCCCCTCTTACAAGAAGCCTGTAAAGGCTAGAGACAGTGTTCAGGAAAGGATGCATCCCGGCTCGGGCTGCTCAAAGCCTGACAGCAACGTGCCTCTCAAAACCATGCACGTCTCTCAAAATGAAGAGTGCATACGCAGGGCTGCTGCGTTGGAAAGGAAACCATCAGAAAGCATCAGGGAGCGAAAGGAGCTCACCCAAACAAGAGTCGTTGTGAAATATGACATCATCAGTCCACTCCCCTTCTTTCGTTCCGTGTGAAATGAATCTGAAGGACACCACCCTTCATGTTTCATGGTCATTTTTTGTCGGAGGTGGCCATGATTCTCTTCACCAGAACTCTCATTAAAATCGACAATCTCATAATGGCATCCATACCAACCCCTACCAGGCTGGAAATCCTTGCCCCAGAAGTAGATCTTTTGTGTTTTTCTGCCATCTCAGGAAGAAACAAAGATGAGACAAAGACCTCTCAAAAGGTACCAGTTATGTTAACCTGAAATCCCTCAGCCGAACAGGACCTGGCGGACTGCCAAGTGGGCTATGGGGAAGGGCCGGCCATCACCTATGAAACCCTGAGGGCTGATTCTTGTCTTGTCGTGGGCGTATCCAGGGATAACCCCCCCTATATGATGGCCGTCTGCGGGCAGGCGTACTGCGGGGGCATCGTCTTCGCACGCACAGTGGAGCGTTCGATCCTGCCAGGAAAGCGATCCAAAAAAATAGGCTCTGTAAGTTGTTCAAAGAAGGCCGGCCCAAGCCTGACTTGCGGGAATGGTTCCAAATGGTGAGCTTGAAGAAAGGGAAAGGCTCCGAACAGTGCTCTTGTACTTGAGGCATTTGGGCCGACAGAAGTGCTCAAAGCAAACCTGCAAAACGAGCATAACTTTGGGGACATGCCACAAGTGCTGGTGTGTAGAGCACATGTGTGTGTAATACCATACACCCCGGTACATTGAACCGCGATTCATGGAGCACGCCTCGAAAACTGAGTGGTCTGAAGCTGGCGGACTCCGCGCAACAGGGGCCAAAATGCCCTTTTGGTTGGGAAAAAACACAAATCTAAACCAGAAGAACCATATTTTTCACCAAACGGAGCCATAGATAGGTTTTGATAGGTTAGAACTTGATGGCTTGAAATGGAATAACACGAAGCTACGCCAGTGGAACCCACTTGTCTAATTTGTACATATTTGTACTGTAGCCAAACTCACCGATCAAAGGACACCTATGGTCGGAGCCTAAAGGACACTAAGACAGATTGAATGCTCTTGCGACCATATCAATGCGGCAGCAATGCTGTCAAACAGTCCACGAGCTGCTACTCCATGATTACCCTCCTACCAAACAACGTGAACCTGACAGGGGGTCCCTTTAGAAGGAAAATGGTCTGTTTGGACACCACACACAAAGGTGCCCACAAGCAACATGCACAGGTTGTTGCTTCTAGACTTATAGCCCCAGTGCAGCCAAGTCCTTTATTGTTTAAAGCAAACAGGGCATCCAAATAAGGGGCCAGGGACTGGTAGGGGGAACAAAAACAAAAGGCGATCCAAATCCTGGCCTACACACTGGGTCCTTGATCCTTGCCACGCCAAGTCGGGGGGTCGCGGAGGGGAGAAGGGGGGTGTGGGAGACAGGGGGGGGGGGGTGTGATGGCAGAAAAAAATACCAGCAAAAGACAAATGCCGAACCCCCCCCCAACCCGCGACTCTTCCCAGGTCAAACTCGTTGACTCGTTGCTTGGAACGTGTCATAAGTTCCCATCTATTTGACAAGGAGAGAGAAGAACAAATGCAACTAACAAATCCCGGCACATCATAGACTCTTGAGGATTTGCATGACATGTCTGAAATTACTGCGTTTAACAACAACACACTGTAAAATAGGGGCCCAAATAGCTTCCCATTGACACAATTTGCGGTGGTCACCACATCCAGCTAGGGTGGCACTTGTGAAAAT